ACGTTAGATGTATAGAGTTGAAGTAGACTTAAGAAGAAAACGTAAATCCAATCCTGAACGGGAACCGAGGCATAGACCTCTACTCCGATTTAAAATAGCGGAGAGGAGTGTGAACCGGACGATAGGCGGATTAATCTATTCCTATTGAGAAAAATAAATAAATAGTAAATAAAACGTCTGCTTCTTAGGTGGAGACGTTAGATGTATAGAGTTGAAGTAGACTTTAGAAGAAAACGGAAAACCCAATTCTGAACAGGAAGCAAAGGATAACCCTGTACTCCTGTTCAAAATAGTGGAGGGGGAGTCTAAATCGGCTAGGAGACAAACCTATCTACTCCTATTGAGAAAAATAAATATGTGAATAGTGAGACTTTGCGTATAAGAAGGTAGGCTTAAAAAAAGAAAGAAAAATAAGATAAAATTATAGCAAAGAGAGAGAGAGTGGTGGAGTTAATGGCGTGTGGTTGATATTAAATATACATTTAATAGAACTGACAGTATGATATTATCTATTATGTTTTAAGTCAGTATAAGGTCAAATATCCTCTATCAAAATAAAATCAAGCAGGGGATTAACATTATTTGAAGCTTTTTTTTGGGGGAAAAAAGACTATGTACAAGAAATATGGCGAGATATGCTCACGAATGAGTCAGACGTATCTCATCAGACTGTTTAGGCTAATAAAAATTACAAACAAAAATGTAGCCGTTTCACGTTCAAAATGTACACATCTAAATAAAGAAAACTCAAATTCTGTCTACCCGCTTATCTGAAACCTCTCTAACTAGGGCCACCCTTGCTATGCATAGACATTTTATAACTTTTAGGAATCAGGATGATTCTGGAATTGAAAATCTGTTCTTCCTCAGGACGTAGGCGGTCATGGATCTCCAAAAATTTCTGTCCTTAAATTTTTTTCTCTCCTAAAACTTGTTGCGCCATCCATTTACTCAAGATCACTAAGTATGTTATGCGTTGTTTTCCTCTGACTCCCTTGCCTTCAATCTGTCCTGTGAGTATCAGATTTTCCAAGCCATCCTTCCTCATGATGTGCCCTAGAAATTTTAGATGGCTCTTCCAGATATTAAGTTTTCTTTTTGTTTCCATTTTCTCTAAAACTTCATCGTTGCTCTCATGTTCGCTCCATAGTATCCTCACTATCCTTCTGTAGAACCACATTTCTGTTTTTTTTTTTAAATCGTTTCTTCATCTTTGAGGAGACTGTCCAGCATTCACTCTCATATAGGAAGACTGATATTAAGTAACAGTTCAGTAAGTTTTTCCTTGTTTCTAAAGATTTTTTAAAATTTCTTTTAATATTCTTTGTCCCAATGCGGCTTCGGATTTCAGTGTCGCAGTAGTTCAAAATATTTCATCTCCACCCCTCCTCTTACCCAACTGCTAAGTTAGACAATCCTTTTGCGGATTCCAACTGGTTAAATATATAAAAGCTGATACGAACTACTGGGGAAATGTAAGATTTAGAAGATAACAAACAGTTACCATTTTATCATGAGTAGTTCAGACTAATATTCTAATTATTCTTGGCTTTATTACTGCACTTAGGCTGAAGCACCCCCCTCTGATGCATATCTAATTCATCCGTTTCTTTAAAGGAAAATAGATGTAGATCCAATCTAAAGGGTAGAGGTAATGAAAAAGATGAATTATGCACCAACGGAAGACCAAAGATCTAATCGGACGAAACGTAGTGATAAAACATGCAACGCTGAAATTGCCAGTGCGAACAACCTAAGTAGTGATGGTGATAATTTCGTAAAATATTGGCTTGTAAGAAAAGCTTGTGCCGTTTTAAAATATATGGCGTTTGAACACGTGATTTCGTTTCACAAGGGTTTGAAATTTAGGACATATATACATATACTCTATACTGTGTGTAGTTGTGAATTCTAAATATATTCGCATTAAAAATAAAAATAAGGTCCATTTTCATCATTTGATGCTCTTTTATTTCCGGAAAGGAAAATCGTTGTAGAAACAGCAAAAAGTTATGTGCCATTTATAGAGATGGTGTCATAGCTGAGGGTACTATGTGTAAGTGATACGCTTGTTGCAGTTTTTTGTGTATCTCTGTACTAGTGAGCCAGTCAAAAATGAGCTGACTCATTTTATAGTTCACCAATAGAAGGGTTAACCAATCAGAAAGCTCAAAATATTCAATCCGACGTGTATAAAGGCAGCCATTTTGTTTTTCTCCAAAATTATCCTCACTGCCAACCTGATATCGAAGACTCAAAGAATTACTTAACAGCCGCTACTTTCTCTAAATCTTCACTGCCAAACTCTGATATTGAACACATTACGGACTTCACTGGATTCCATATTCCGAGACTACGGCAAACATGGTCAACAACGCTAGGTTCAGATGTGGAAAATCAGGCACGGGTGCTTCAAGTGGGCTCCTGACGTACCTACTTTTAGACTCGAGGGTTGGCAACTTGTAGCGCGGTCGGATAAGTCAGCCCCCCAGTTCTTTCGCGCAGATAGTAGGGTTTGACTGAGGTATGGATATCATGAAGCCATGGATCCCATTTGTAAAAAAAGACACTTTACAGTCTGGCAGTGGTTCCGAAGCGATGTGTGACGTTTTAACGTAGGATGTGTTCAGGTGGGGTGCGTTGGGTCCGCTGAACCGCTTAAAAACGTTATTGACGACTGTATCCTACCTTACGCTACATCGAGACTATTTTCGTCCATTCATGAACTCCTTGTAGCCCCAAAATGATGATATACTCCGACATTATAATGCAGTGTGATCGGGCGCAGTTTGATTAGAATCATTTTGAGGGACATAACAATTTCTGATACATGGTGTGGTCACCACATTCGCTTGGCTTTAATTCAATCGAACATTAAGTGGTTGTTGGAGAGATTTGTGAAATGATTTGTTTTCTAAGAGTTATCAAACATTTCCAGGTTATTTAAATCCGGAAAATATTATTAGATTGTAAGATTTTTTGGAGGAGATAATAATCTTTTTATAGCTGGGTGTGACGTCGTCCCCCGGTCGCAGCGTCGACTGTGTCGTTCGATCCCGTTCGCGACGCCAATTGTGACGTCACGTGCTCCCCAGGCTCTGATATCCTGGTCACGGACAGCACCAGTTGTGACGTCTTTTGCCGCGGCGTCAGCTGTTCGCTCCTCGCTGCTCCAAACGTGACGTTCTAACCCTTTGGTTAGATTGATACCAGCCTCGTCGTTCCCAACCCGCTTCCAACGCCTGGTTACCAGGGTAACTGCACTGATATCCGGTCAGCCTATCCACGTTGTGAATTGATCTTAGACAGACGAGATCAAACAGGGGTTGGGGCCGTAATGCAAGTTGAGTCTAACGGGGGTGATAACACACAATTATGTATAAAAAAAAGAAATAAAATAAAAACTCACAAGGTCCAACGTATCAAGAAAAAGGTAACAAACTTTTTATGTTTATTTGCTCGGTACATAGGACTATGTCTACTTCCCGACCCGTTCTGTGGATTGTGGCACGACGCTTTTACTAGGCAACTTTAAGGCTTGATAAGTGTGATAGGGAGGTCTGTTCGCAAGCAAGAGAGTGCTTCTCCTAATAACAGGGAGAATAGTTATCAAGTCATCATGGCCGAATATCTATGCAAATATTTTCCAAACATTTGTTAAAACGGCATCAAGTCGAATTGCTACACTTAAATTGCGGCTGGTGGTCTAGTAAAATACTTGGCAGCTTTTGACTCAGTATTATTTCTTCTATGCGACATTATATCAGTTTTTTTATGCAATTCACCCCAAGCAAGGCAGGAGTACCACTATCACGCAGGGGGTTAGAGAGAATTCAGAACAAGAGTAAAGAGTCGTGTTTGAGGAAAGGATACAGAAAAGGACGGGGAACAATATCAATGTATCAGAATATTATTTACATTATTCGGACTATTGTCCTCATCTTTGTCGCCATATTTATCACAACGTTTCGGCCGTTGTACGCTCTGGCCTTCTTAAGGTGGTTGGAATGTCGAACTGAACCCTTTATTTCGATCACTGGGGTAGACTGTTCTAGTTCCACGTGCCATGTTTAATGGATGTAAGTTATCAGTTATCTCCTGTTAATTTCCCTCTGAAAGTTCTCCACTGCCTTACCCGGGTATTGAACTCACACTCTTTGGAGCCTGTCGCTGGATCTAACCAACACCGTTATCCACTGTGCCATGTGTCCTTGGCGACAAAGATGAGGACAATAGTGTAAATAATGTACATAATACCTCATCTCAGAAATATAGACAGTGTCAGAAGATGTCGATTGACATTACACTTGAATATTTGAAGATAATATGTATCAGGGACGCAAACAAGAGGAAGGGAGTTCTACAGACGGGAAGTGCGAGAGAATAAGCTGTTTGAGACGGTTACTATCCGTTTTGACAGTGAAAAGGTGGGACCGAGATGCCAGCCTAGTTCCTCGCTGAAATTCATGCTTTCTGAGAACCAGCGAAAGTAGCCCGTCAGGACAGATCCCATGAAAATACTTGTAGAAGAGGCAAACGGAAGCCGATGGTAACTTCTTGAGATGTGTGATTGTTGAATTCCCAAGACAATCTTTGGTTATATATATTTAACCATGGGTTACGAACCCAGGTTAAATATAGTATTTTCAATGTTTCGAATTTTAAAGTAAGCAATGTTTGGCGTAATGCTACCTTTCTACACAGTTTTCTCACGTTTAAAATTGTTTTTGACTAATTTGTTTTTTGTTTAGCGAAATATTAACCTCTGTTTTTATTTTCTATTTTATTCTATTTATTTATTTTTTTTATAGTTTTTCTTGCTAATTAACTTCTAGCTGGGCGATGGTGTGGGGAGGAGAAGGGGTGGATCCATACCTCAGGTAAGGGTATTTTCGCGTAAATGAATATAACGAACCCAATGGGAATTGGAACTCAGACCTCCGATTAACTATTCCAAGCCATTATCCAATAATCAACCCAAGCTTACATTCACGCTTACAAACATCTGGTATTCCCAAGTGGTCACCCATCTAAGTACTTACCAGGCTTGACGTTGCTTAACTTCGCTAATCGTTCGTGAATCGGTGTTTCTTGTTTTGTATTGGGATGTGTTTAATCTTTATAAAGAAATATTCACTTCATAATATTCTACTGCCCAAACAAAGCTCGATATTCGTGAGCTTATAGCAAGGTACAAACTTTGCATTATACGCACACTCAAAATCGTTCTTCTACTTAATTAATTCGACTGTTTTTCCTTTATCGCCCGAATCTCACCCGTTCCCTGGCTTTTGTACACGAGTAGAAATTTATCTCTTGTTGCCGGTTTAGGATTGTGTTTCCAGATCTTTCTCCAAAACTTTTCCAATTTTCTTACACTCCGTATAACCACTTGCATCTTACTATCGCCTTAGGAGGAAATGATTTAAAAAAAAAAAAAGTAGATTTTCTTAGAAAAAAAAAAAAAAAAAAAAAAAAAAGGTAAAACATTTCCAGAAACTCAATTAAAATTCAGAAGAAAGCACTTCAAATTCCACAAGAAAAAATACATTTTCATTAAGAAATACTCTGGTCTCTATTTTCCCCAATCTTGCCGTTGCAACCTCGAAAATAATCTAACAATTACTGCTTCTTTTAGGAAACATCCTATTTTTGATTTCATGGTATTTTTTAAGAGCAACCTGTCTTCTCGCGGTTTAAACCCTTACCTATTTTTCAATCATTCGAATCCTTGCAGTATTTCCTGCACAAAAGACATCTGTCACAAGATTTTTTCGCTGGAACACATTTAGAAAATGTCACCTGATTCCACAATGGTTTTAATGCTATCCACTCGAAAAGGAATAATTTAGCAATAAAATATTCCAAAATCTTTCCTCACTGTCAAATTTTATCAATGTAAAGCATTTATCGCTTGGCATAACGATCGAAATATATTTGATTACTTGAAAATACACCTTAATATTAAATAAAATTTTATGTATATCAAGATATTTATATACTTGGGCTAACCGGTTGATTGTTTTATTTTTTTAAAATGCCAAATCTATTTCGAACGTAGGCGATCATGATTCACCTCATATTTTTTCAGTATTAGATGGAATTTGCCATTGATTTTTCGGAAAAAAGGGTAATGGTTTTTGTATTGCCCTCTCTTGGGCAATCGAGTTATCCTTCTCTAGAGAGACCAGTATATTGTCCTATAAATAGCACAGTGGTTCCAAAGTTGTATGGCACGTTTTAACGTAGGGTGTGTTCAGATGGGATACGTTGGGTCCGCTGAACCGCTTAAAAACGTTACTGACGACTGAATCCTAATTTGCTCTTCATCGAGACAGTTTTCGCCCATTCATTAACTCCTTGTAGCCCCAAAATGATGATATAATCCACCATGATTATGCAGTGTGATTGGTTGCTGTGAGTAGTGATGAATCTATGTCTTTTCGAGTGTTAAAGTAAAAGTCAATGCAACTGCCCCAGTCAGAATTTGAATTAGAGTCCAGTTTCTGATCTACATATCTATTACATTGTAACCCTAAGAATATGACATCTAGATAGAAGGGTATGAAGCGAGATTCTATCGCCGTCTTTCGTGCTTTGTGTTTTACGGCGAGTGATAAAGTCTACTAGACATGGACTTCAAAGTAGTTACCCACTTGAAGGAAAGGGAATGAAATGATAAATAAATGAAAACGTTTTGGGACTAATGGCACCCCCCCAAAAAAAAAAAAACGGGTATTAGAGATTTTTGGTTACAGGTTATATTAACGATCATATTTGGGGCCATGGTTCAGTTCTGAAATTAGTATTATTCGGTCGGATTCCTGTCCGAGTAGTTCCGACGCAAACGGTTCGAGTTGCCGCCATGAGTCGTGATACTAAGATTGGTAGATTGTCGGTAGGAGGAAGTTGAAAAAAAAACCCCAAAAAATCTGGTTGGTTAAATCCGTTATGGCAGAAGTTGTCTCAAGCGTACTTACCTACTCACCTATACAAAGTGCAATTTCTCACCGTGGCGTTTATTTCACCCTTTGTTTCATTGTGAGCTTGCAACGGCGCCTTTCCCGGTTTTTGATGCACACTGTCACGAATGGAGATGCCACGTAGGTTAATCACTGGCTGATCCGTAGAAAGGTCGATGTTATGATGTTGATTTGGGGTTAGTAGAGACAAACGCCAAATAACACGTAACAATAAAAAGGGTTTTAATAGGTTGGTAAAAAGCTACAGAAATCGCCTGAGTAGTCAATAACTCGCTCAGCTAAGAACTTCTCTGTCTATCTATCTTCTCATTATTTAAAGTCTCTATTCACAGACGCAGACAAGTTCATCTTCAAGAGGGGTGGTAGGTTTCCGACACAACAGTCGATGAGAGTCCATTTGCTGTTTACTAGTTTATCTACACTTATTTATACCATATTAAATTCAGCTTCTTAGCAGAAGTGTATATATTAACCAATGAAAAACACCAGTTCAGAAGCCCGCCTGCTAATTCCAACCCTTTTTATTAGATTTGGAGAAGATATTGTCTAACTCACAAGTTGAATAAGAAAAATAAACTAACCATATGAGCAGATAAGTCTCACATCTTAAATCACGAGGCAAAATCGGCTTACGGATACATCACGTTGATATAGCATTTCCTGTATAATTAACGAAGTTAACCAATGTTGATCTTAGTCATTACCTAGATGTTGGACCGCTTGGGATATATATATATATATATTTATATATCATTTATTTATTTATTATATATATTTATATATTATTCATTTATTTATTATATATATATATATATATAGAGAGAGAGAGAGCGAGAGATGAGTTCGAATTCCAGTTGAATCCATTACATTCACTTACGTGCTAATACCCTTGGGAAAGGTATGAATCCTCTTCTCCCGCCACCAGCTATCGGCCGAATTCGATGTATGAAGGTCAAGCAGATCAGTTCCTACGAAGCGACACCAGCACATGAGATATGATTGTAATGTTGAAGGTTTTGTGCAGAACCATCCACACTTTTTGAATCGCCGAATATAGAGACCTTGTACACTAAGGCCCACAAGGTCCCCAAACGACCTCCCGTTTTGAATTCAGATTTGTCCTTCTACTAGACCGGTTGCCATCCAAGGCTATAGAACCCAGTGGATTCGATTAGAATTCGAACTCGGCTCTCCGATTCCTCAATCCAGGCTGGTATCCATTACTCCATACACAGACACACACACACACACACGCACACGCACGCACACACACGTGCACGTACACACACACACACACACACACACACACACATATATATATATATATATATATATATATATATATATATATATGTGGATGACACTGTTGAGCAAGATTGAGTGGCTGATTTTAGGATATATCAACCATTACTGGATTACTTATTTACTGGATTTATTTATTAATTATTTATTTACAAAGGTACACACACACAGACACACACACACACACACACATATATATATATATATATATATATATATATATATATATATATTTACTTTATTTATTTACAAAAAACACACACACACATATATATATATATATATATATATATATGTGTGTGTGTGTGTGTGTGTTTTACCTTTGTAAATAAATAAAGTAATCCAGCAATGGTTGATATATCCTAAAGTCATCTAATCTTGCTCAACATTGTCATCCACGTATCTTCGTTACCAAGTTATCTGTACGGATAAGCGTACCTACTTTAAATACAGAAATTGGAATCGGAAAGCCGCCCTTATTTCCGCTCGCATCTGCCACGTTCACATCGTATTACTGCCCTTAGGCATAGATATTTTTCATCTCCACATACCTGCTATGGGCTGTTTAGCCTTGGATAGCATCCAGTCGAAAAGAAGAATTATAATTTCAACCCAGTCCCAACTGACACCAATTGAGTAGCAATAGCCAAATGCTGGACAAAACTCACAGATGAAGAGGCTTCAATCGACATAGATGTGGCTCAACCGATGCATGCACAGCTATTGGCCAGAAATGAAAAACTAATGCATGGTTGTCAACAAGAGGCATTTCGCCCTACAAATCGGAGAAAACAAAATCGATAACGAAAATTTAAATATCTAGAGCCCTTTTAACAGAGGATGGCAAATATGACGCAGAAACTCGAATGCGTATTGGAATATCAAAAGATGACTTCCAAAAGCTAAGCAAAGTATTAAGAAACAGGAAATGTTCATTAGATACAGAAAAAAGAGTGCTAAACTTTTGTTATACCAGTCTCCTATATGCTAGTGAATGTTGAACAATCTTCTCGAAAAACGAAGAAGTCAATAGAAGTGTCCAGTCCATGATATTCTCAGCATTTATAAGGTTGCAGAGATTATGATGGCCTGTGCATGTGAGTAATGAGGAAGTTTTAAAGAAAATGGAAATAAAAATGAGACGTATCCTAGAATCAAAAAGATAAAATTTTAAATTTATTCTATACATAATAAGGAAAGAGGGATTAGAGAATTTGACACCCACAGGACTTATTGAAAGAAAAAAGAGCATTGGAAAATGAACTTGTTTAAATGATTGACAGAACAGGGATTAAGAGAGCTAACAAAAAAAAAAAAAATGTAATGGTTACCGCGCTTGTCTCGCTTGAACAATTACAGCTGCAAGGGACATCACAAGGCGGTGTAATGGTTACCGCGCTTGTCTCGCTTGAACAATTACGACTGAGTAGTGAGTTCGATCTTCACTGGATGCCCCCTACTTTCGGCCTTGTGCCACATCTAAGCTAAGCTTCGAAAATCACTGTACTAGGCTGTAAGGGATTCATTTCTTCGAATCAACATCATAAGCCAGTCAGGACCCGGAAGCTAGATGGGGACATTTTGTGGAGCGTGGAACCACCTCTTAATAGCCTGCTAGCCCCCAGTTCCCCCCTGACTATGGAGTAAAAAGTTTATGAAAGTATAAAAATAGATTTTTATATTAAGAATACGATCAATACAGTTTAAAAAATACCAGCAATACAGTTTTTGAAAAATAAAATTACCAGAAATATATTTGACTCCCGACAAAAAAAAAACCCTCGTTGCAGAAATACGTCAATGAAA